ATCATCTTGCACCCAGCACGGCGTGCGGCGACGGTCTTCTCGCGGAGACCGCCGATGCGGAGCACCTTGCCGGTCAGGGTGAGCTCGCCCGTCATGGCGACGGTCGGGTTGACGGGCGTGTCGAGTGCGAGGGACAGGAAGGAGGTGGCCATGGTGATACCGGCCGAGGGACCGTCCTTTTGCACGGCACCGTCGGGGACGTGCAGGTGAAGCTTCGCCTTGTCGAAGAAGTGGTTGTCGGGGAACTCCTTCACCATGAGCGCCTTGGCAAAGGAGTAGGCAATCGTGGAGGACTCCTTCATGACGTTCTTGAGGTTGCCGGTAATCTCGAGGCCGGGTCTGCTGCTAGGGCGCAGGGGAGCCTGCAGGATGGACTCAACGTACATGGCCGCACCGCCCATCTGGGTCCAGGCGAGACCCATTGCGACACCGGGCGGGTTGACCTCGTAAAGGCGGTCCGAGGTGAAGACGGGAGGTCCGACGTAGTCGACAAGGTTCTCCTTTCCGATGGTGACATGAACGTTGTCCGGGACATTGAGAGCCACGCGGGGCTTCTCAGTCGTGGGAGTCTCGGCCGGCTGCTCGCCGGTCTCCTTTGCAGCCTCCGTCTTCTTCTCCGACTCCTCCAGGGCCTCCTTGCCACTGTCGGTGAGGGCCTCCTGCTCGGGGAGGACCTCCTCGCCGAGGTCCTGGACGATCTTGAGGGCGGACTTGCGGTAGACTTTCTCGATCTGCTTCTTGAGGTTGCGGACACCAGACTCGCGCGCGTAGGACTTGATGAGCTCCTCAATCGCCTCCTCGCTTAGCTTAACGTCGGCGTTCGCCAGGCCTGCCGCCTCCTTGGCAGCAGGGGCAAGGTACCGGTCGGCAATGGCCTTCTTCTCGTCAGCGACATAGCCGGAGAGCTGGATGAGCTCCATGCGGTCGAGAAGGGGTCTGGGGATGGTGTCGGTCATGTTGGCTGTGCAGACAAAGAGGACCTTGGACAGGTCGACGGGGACGTCCATGTAGTGATCCAGGAAAGAGCTGTTCTGCTCGGGGTCGAGAAGCTCCAGAAGGGCAGATGACGGGTCGCCCTGGTAGCCCCGGCCGATCTTGTCGATTTCGTCAATCAGGATCAGGGGGTTCTCGGTCTGGCACTTCTTGAGCGCCTGGATGATGCGGCCAGGCAGAGCCCCGACGTAAGTGCGTCTGTGGCCCTTGATCTCCGCCACATCGGTGAGACCACCGACACTGAATCTGTAGTACTGGCGGTTGAGCGCGCGGGCAATGGACTTTCCGATGGACGTCTTGCCGACACCGGGAGGGCCGACGAAGCAGATGATCTTGCCCTCGACGGTGCCGCGAAGCTTGCCAACGGCAATAAACTCGAGAATGCGATCCTTGACGTCCTTCAAGCCGTAGTGGTCTTCATCGAGTACCGTCATTGCATTCTTGATGCCAAAGTTCTCTGCACTGCGCTGGCCCCACGGGATCTGGGTGAGCCAGTCGAGGTAGTTACGCGTGACGTTGAACTCAGATGCCGCGGGCTCGAGGTGGGCGAGCTTGTTAATTTCGTCGTCAAAGACCTTACGGACGGCCTCGGGCATGGCCAGCTTATCGGCCTTTTCCTTGAACCTCTCCACCAGCTTATCCTTGCCGTCAGACTCGAGACCGAGCTCGCGGCGGATGCCCTTCATCTGCTCCATCAACCAGTACTCGCGCTGACGCTTGGTGATCTTACTCTCGACGTCCTTGGTGATCTTCGACTGCAGCTGGGCGTTCATGAGCTCCTTCTTCAGGACGATCAGGGCCTTTTGCATCCTCTCCTCCACGTTGAGACTGGAAAGGACCTCCTGGAGCTCGCCCTGCTCGCCCGAGGATACCGCGGCGGCAAAGTCTGCAAGCTTCGCCGGCTCGGACGTGACGTTTCCAGTCGATTGACTCATGGAAAAGGTGGAGATCTGGTCCCGGAAGAGGCTATTCATGGTGGCGACTTCCTTGAAGACGTTGACGATCTCGTTCGTAACGGCCCGGATGACGGCGCTCTTGGGGTCGTAGGGCTCCTCGGTCAGGTTCTCGACGTTGACAAGACTGACGGGGTATCTCTTGAGGAACGCGGTGGGCTCGTACTTTTCCGCGGCCTGGTCCGGCTTGGGCGCGACGGCACTCTCCTCGAAGCTCGCAACGACGTCGCCCTTCTTGTCCGGCTGCGCCTCCTCCTCGACGGGCTTCGGGGGTATCGGCTCGGGGACGGGCTCGACCTTGGCCTCGCTGGGCTTCTTGTCCTCGGTCCCGGGCGGCAGCAGGCTCGAGAGGCGTATGCGGCGGTGGGGGTACAGGATGGCTGTGAGGCTGCCCTGCTCGCCGTGCATCGGGAAGGCGCTGGTGATTTGCGCAAAGACACCAGTATCGTAGACGTCATCGACGTTGCGAATCACGTCCTCGTCCTGGTTCTCGTCCTTAAAGAGGAACGCTCCCACGTACGGCTGGCCACGCTTGATCATCTCGGTGATGGCGGCGGCCACGTTGGGGTCCTTGATGGTGATAGCCTTATAGAAACCGGGAAACAAGGGCCGCTTCGCAATGGGGATGGCAAGAACCTGGGGGTACACATCCGGCACGACGGGCTTCTGCAAGCTCTTGTCCGAGGCCTTGCGTCCCTTGCGGCCGCTGCCGTCGCCCTTGTCGTCGCCACCGCCAGAGCCCGCCGATGAGCCGCCCGCCGCGCTGCTGCCCTTTCCGTCCTGGGCGCCGCCGGCAGAGCCTTCATTCTTAGGGGAGGAGTCGGAGCCGGAGTTCTTTGCCTCGGCGGCGAGCTCCTTCTCCTCGAGCTCGCGCTGGTGCTTGAGGTTGGCCTTTTGCTCCTCCTCGGACAGAGGCTCGACGGCGCGGTCGAAGAAGCCGCTGCTGTCCTCCTCCTCCTTCAGGCGGTGCGTCGACGTCGAGAACTGGGCGACGGCTCGCTGTGTTCGGGGGGCGGCGGACAGGAGCAGGCGGTCGAAGGTGGGAGCCGAGCATCTCGGGGCACTGGCGGGGGATAGCCTGCTCGGGGTGGAGTATGGGCGTCTGAGGTAGTTGGCTGGGCGGCCGAGGGCGAGGCGCCTCGGGAAGCTCGATCGCATGACCATGATGGCGGCGGTCGAGGGAGGTGTTGGCGAGGTTGTGCGTTGCGGACCAGCAAGCGTTGAGGAAGCTCCGGTCTCGCGGGCACGTGGGAGTCGGGTGTTGCAGGGCCGAAGGCGAATGGCCGCTGAGAGGAAGGAGAGAGAGGGGAACAAGAAGAAGACGTGCTTCCAGAACAATTGAAACGTGCGAGGTTGTTTTGATTTGTGCAGCAGTACAGGACGTCTCGTCCTAGATGGCGGTGCGCATGGCCTCCTGTCGCCTTACAAATACAAAGTGGCAGTCGAGAGCGAGAGAGTCAAGGTCCCCGGCTGCGTAGGTAGCCTTTTTAGCTATTATGGAGCACGTCGGGGGACTACAGAGTAAACGACATCACCAAAAAATCCGCCGCCAGCCAGCAGAGCACTGACGTTGCCGCTGGCTCGGCCACTGAGAGTGGAAGACGTCGTTGCCCAGTGGGGTGGCCACGGCTCCACCCGGCTGCCTTTAGAATCTGGAAGAACATCGGACCCGGCGGGCGGGAGCGCGTCGGAGCATTCCACCGATGCATCAGTCAGCGGCTTGGGTGCAGTGCAGGGCCAGCCACGGGTGTTTCTCTCCTGGGCAAGTTCATACTGTCCGTCTGCTCATTGCAAGCCTCAGCAACTACAGTGTCTTTTTCGGGGCGCACACACAGTACCCAGACCGTGGCGTCCGAACTCTTTGACTCGATTGCGGGGAAGGTGAGCAAGCACCCCACGCTGAAGAGGGAACGGCAGTCCATCCAATGTCACACAGCTGGAGCCGTTGCCCAGCCCGCTCACACAGGTCACAGTGCTCGACATCAGTCCATAACCTGATTTAACACCTAGGGTCCAGACCGTCGTCTTCCTCGGCACCTGCCATCACAAGCCCCGGACGCTCGAGAGCTGCTCTCCATCCCGCAGGCTTGTCGTCTTCACACTCGACTTGGGAGTCTCGAGCCCGGCTGTGACCTGCATCGTCACCTTTGCACTAGCGCCCACCCTTTTGATCCTTCACGCCTCCTCCACCGTGACGTTGCGGACGCTGCTCCCCATCCCCCTTTTCTCATTGATCTTCCCCTGCACCTGGGAACGTCCACCCACCCTCGCTTCCCGACGGGACCGCATCCGGGGCATCGGGACTTGGTTCTTCAAGCAGCACCTTGCCATCACGTACTCATACTTACACATACACGCACGCATACGCGACTTCACCTTCACTTTCACGATGCCTTCAGGTCAAAAGTCAGACGTCGCCTCGTCCCTCTCCAAGCTCACGCTGGATGGCGACAAAAAGCCCGCAAAGCTGGCCAAGAAGGCCAAGAAGCCAGTCGTCGACTCCTGGGAAGACGAGGACCTTGACGACGATGATGAGGAGGAGGAGGCAAAGCCCCCGGGCGGCGACGGCTCCAAGGCGCCTCCTCCGACCCCCATCTCTCCCACGTACAACACGGCGTCTCACTCTTTTCCCCCGTACGGCACGACGGATCCCACGGGCGCCTCAGCAGCAGGAGCTCCACCGGCAGGCGGTCCGCGTCGTCCCGAAAAGACGGACGCCGTGGCCAGGCGCATGATTGCCAGCGCGCTCGGCGTCAAGGTTCCGAAGCAGACGGAGGAGCAAAAGGCCTACGACAGAGCCGTGCGGGAACAGGAGCGCAAGCGCAGGGAAGAGGAGAAGGCGGCGGAGAGGAAGAAGCAGGAGGAGATGGAAAGGGCAAAGGCCGCCATCTGGGAGGATTAGACAGACAGGCAGTCCTGCCCTCTTCGCTTCAATGTCAGTATAGGGTTTATCTCCCTCGTCGCGGGGTTTGTGTATACGAAACAATCCGTGTTGTCATGGACGCCGAAGCGCAACGCACTGCTCCGTATACATTGAAGAGAATCCCACAGCAGCTAGTCGCTGCTCTCCTCCGTGGCCCTCTCCGACTTCATCGCCGCAAGCGTCTTCTCGACGGCGGGCCGGGACCTGATTCTCTCCGTCCACGCTGCGTAGTCGGGGTACCCTTTGTCGATGGCGAACTTGTCGTTCCACGCATCACCGAGCATGCGGCGGGCCATGTAATCCCAGGGCATGAAGGCGATGTCGACGTAGGTCCTAGGTGTGTTGCCCGTCAGCTGTGAGCCACTCGGGAGAAGGACAGCAAAACATACGCTTTGTCGCCGACGAGATACTCTCTCCCCTTGAGCACGCGGTCGAGGACGGACAGCACGCGCACAGTCTGCTCCTCGTATCTCTCCTTGGCGCTCGGGACATCTTCGGGGTGGAACATCTTGAACCACCCGAGCTGGCCAAAATAGGGGCCCTGTTGTCCGTCAGAGTTGTCGTTGCGGATGAGTAGGGGGCACGACGTTACCTGTCCAGACATCTGGAACGCCAGGAACTGCTTCAGATGAAACTTTTCGGGGAACGAAGTGTAGGACAGCCTGCTCTCGGTGTCGTACGTCTCGACGAGGTACTCGATGATTGCGCCCGATTCCCAGAGGGTGATGCCTGTGTTCGGGTCTGTAATGGCGGGGAGGCGGCCGTTGGGGTTGATGGCCGTGAAGGCTTCCTTCTTGACGTCCGTGATTTCCACCTTGATCTGTCCCATGTTTTCAGCTGGCTCTCTTCTCGCTCGTGGACGGGCAAGCGACGACTTACCGTCTCGTATGGAATATCGAGTTCCTTGAGAATCATGACTACTTTGGCCGGGTTCGGGGCGTAGTATGTGGGACATGTCAGCTACATGGTGTTCGAGTGAGATGGAAGGTCTTCGGGTGGCTTACTGTGACCGTACAGAACGATGGGCTTGGTGGCGGACATTTTGACTTGGGAGATGATTCTGGACTGCTCTGAAGGCTGTTTGATGATTTGTATGGGTTCCAGAATATGGGTTATGTCGAGGCGTCTTCCGCTACTTATACAGTGTGTTGTGTATATGCTACGATTTCCGCAGCTCAACTATCTCCACCTGGCGGAAGCCCGCCCGAAAGATATCCCAAATCGTGTGATCAGCAGTCCGAGCCCGAGCCGGAGTGCCATACCAAGTGTTCCCACCAAATGAGGATATTGCTACCTCCAAGAGGAACGCTTCCATGCTACCATCACGTAAAGTCGTCTCCCGGCTATTTTGCGCACCTGTCCAGCTTACAATATCGTCACCTCACAAGGACCATCACGTTACAAATCAGATGCAGACACTGCTATGTCACGATTTGAATTATCATCTCAAAGGTACGAACCGCAACACCATGTCGCGATGCCGCGCGGGAAGCCACGAGGTTGTCGTCCGGGTTCGGCCGGGCGCCGGACGAACCGCCGGGCCCCACATCAACGCCGGCCGGATTATCACGCCGAATCACACAGGCCGTGTAAGCTGGGCTCCGGACATTTCCATTACGACCGAAATGCCCGGTGACCCCCCCCGCCTAGCCTCTGCCGCGACCTTCTTCTGCACGTGATTCGCCTACATGTCTAACCTCGCGCGTCTGTATTCGTACTCGTGTCGACACTTCCACGACCTCATGACTCACCTCTTATAGCATGTCAAATTCTAGACGCCGTGCTTGCAGGCGCGGCGTTTATGGATAGACCCCAACTCTGATAAACTTCAAGATCGGAAAAGATTTCCCCATTTCACTCATCTTGTCCCTTCACCGGCATGCATGCTTTTTTCCGCCAGCCCGCCACCACCACCACCACCACCAAACAATGTTTCTACGGGGAACCCCCAGACCATGCGCGTGTTTTGAGAGCACGTGGCAAACAGGTTTGACTGAATCATTGGCCGAGTCGCCACAACTCCCCCTCGAAGTACGGAAAATCGATAAGCTTTTCCCTGGCCTCCGGACGATGTGTGAAGCAGCCGGGCTGAATCGTGTGACAATGTCTCCGTTCATCCCAGACCAACTCTAAGTTCTTCCATGGTAGAACAACTACCGCCACGCAGACGCGGCCACAAACGAATAATGTAGCCAAAACTCTGCCCGTCCACATTAGTCAGACCAAAGGCCATGAAACACTGGAACACACCGACAGGGTTGCGAGAGGTCGATTGGCTTGTGGAACAATTCCCCCGCGAGGCGCCGGTGCTCGCTTGAACAAAGCCGGCTTGGCCAAGCTCATTCGGCCCGCTCCTGTGGCACCGTAGGATTGTCGGGGCACGTCCACCTGTGATGCTGTAGCAGGAGGTCAAAGGGCGGCAGGCGAGCATCCCATTGCCGAAGGGCCGTTCGTTTTACTATACGATGCCTGCTACAGACCTGCGGGTTCCGGACATCAGATGCGAACACTGGGCTTCGCACGGCCCTCGCCATACACTCGTATGGAAGCAAGCTGAGGGTCAGCCGTATTGTTCGCGCCGATCCAGGCATGCAGAGCAAACGGATAATCAATCGGACCGCATGCCCCAGAGGCCGGTATCTTCCTCGGCTCGGAAGCGGGTCCCGGTGATCGTGACCCAGACCCGACAGTTCTTCATCGAAGCCGACCTGCAATGGACCCCGGGTATTTGACTGAATGGAATAAACGGCTAAGCGCCGGGCGACGCATGAAGAAAAGGATTGGGCTGCCGACAATTGTGAGGTGCATCAAGCCTTTCTCGTTTGGGAAGCTGACAAGAAGTCTGCCAGGGCATAATATTGTCAGCACGCCCGCAAAGAGAACGCGCCTGCGAAGATTTGCTGGGAAAGCATCCCCATTCGACCGCTCTTGCATGACAGGCTTGGCGTAGGACGGTGTCTTCCCTCCTGGAAACTACGCCTCTGCAGTGAGAAAATTGGCAGCATTTTGATTCCAGATGCGTAGCTGAATGCGGCCGCTTCCCACAGCCTGACGGCCTTGAAGACATTGGCCCAGGTCGCGTGTACGAGGCGTACGAAGTACCGTAAAGGGGCCGGCGGTTTGGGGCTGCTCGGACGGGCCCTTGTCTGTGTGGTGTGCCTCTCAAACTGGTCGGAGAGATGAGACTTGATGCCTCCCTCTCCCACGTGTGCTCCCTGCCTATAGTGTTCCAAAGCTGCTGGGCCGCCTGCCAGTTCAACGCTAGCCGATTGGGCGAGAAGCCCCAGGGGCACAGACGAGAGCCCTGATCAGTGCCAGTTATCTGACGAAAACGTGAAAATAGACAGGGGTGTCCAGTCGTCAAACCGTGCGGCCGAGCCCTTGCTTCGTCCTTCGCACGAAAGCAACAAGACGGACAATCATGCAAAGGAGTTCGCCCTGAAGTCCAGGATTGCTGTCAAAGGACCCAACCCGTGCGGAGTCGGCCGTTGAGTCTGATCCATCTCTGATGAAGCCGACACAACGTCTGAACTAGATCCAGATCTCGACGAGTGGACGAAGGTTGTCTTGACTGCCGGCCGAAGAGGTGTAGGTGAAAGCGTGGCGTTACGGACGCAGCCATTTGGTCGTCCCCCCCTGTCCACCTGGAGAATAGCGAGACCGAAAGGGGATTGATAAAATTTGGGCGCGACGGACAATCTGAAATCGAGGCGAATAAGGACGGAACTAGGATGAAGCTGCGACCAGGCTAGAGCCAAGTGGTAAATAGAGTGCCCAAAGCGAGTATAAGGTTTTCGTGATGGTCTACATCCTCTGGCCTCGCGACCTCGTCCATGGGATACCCCGTCAATGCTGCCGACGGCGATAGCTCGCAACGCGACGCGAGGTTATTCGTACGGCCGTTCATCAGTTGCAGCAGCAACAGCAGCCGCCGGCAAGGTCGCTTTGTGGTGCGAAATACCATCATGGGCTTGGCGGACGCAGGAATGCCGCAGCGAAGAACGCGGCCGATATCCCGGAGAGACAGAGTTTGGTGGTGTGTAGCTGCAATTGTAACCACAGCACTGAATAATTACCTCATCTCTTGCGTCGTCTGGGTGCGTTGCTGTGGTAGACGAGCTGTGCTCCAGGTGCAATGCTGCGGGTGGTTGACCGATGCAACAGGACGACGCCCAGACCGAAACGGGCAAGGGCACTTCCAGATGAGCAGATCTCTGCAGACGATAGGAACGGACGCAAGACCGGTTGCAAGCCACCGACATGTAACGAGGCGGCGGGTAGAAGCCATCCGTCTTGTTCTATTCTGTTCAGACTGTAGCGCCGGGCTGAGTGAAGTGTCACCCGGGTCCTGGGTCGGCTCATCAAAGCTCCTAGTCTGCGTCAGGTCGACGATCCATCGACGACAACAGAAGAATGGCTGCGACGACGAACAGGCGTAGTGGGTGGACGTTTTGTTTTCTTGGTGTTGCCGTTGTCGCTTGCCGTCACCTTCGTCCCATGCGGGAATCTAGACTTGTTGACTCTCTGCGTCTGTGTTTCTGGAATGTGCCCTATAGTTGTAGGTGAACTATCCGCAGGTCAGGTAGGTACGGATAAGTACATCGTGGCCACAGTCTGGCCTGCGGCGGTCAAAAGTCTAAGTCCAAGTCTGAACTTGGCAGTGGTCCAGGGTCCGTCGTTGATCTGGAGTTTTGGAGTCTGGAGTCTGGACGGGAGATTGGAGGTTTGGGGGCCCAGTTTGGGGGTGGCAGCAGTTGGGGGGGAAAGAGTCATTACTCGGTGCTTGACGACTGAAACAGATGTTACATTGCCTTGGGCTGGAGGGGTGAGGAGGAGGAGGGAGAGCCAGCCCGCGAAAAGAGACTGCGCTCGCTCATCGGGGACGTCTGAGGCTGCCGAATGCGGCGGTGCGGGTGCTGGGCGCGGTCAAACTCGCGTGGCTCATGTGAGTGCTGGAATTTGCCGGGGCCCGAGAACAGACATTGAAGGGTCCAAACATCAAAGATGGTCGACAGGGGGGCTTGGAAATGACGATGATCATGTTGGAAAAAGTAACGAGACGGCGGCAAAAAAGGGTCTGGGGCTCCAGAGGGAATTGGAACGGGGCAGGACACTGGTCAATTCCGACGACGTTCTAGGATTGGGCGGACGGGACGGACGGTGTCGTGCTTTGCCAACTGCGTTTGCGTGGTTGTGGTGCCTTACAGAATCGAGATGATGCAGCGCAGATTGGATGCAGCGGAGGGGGCCGCCAGGCACGAAGAAGAAGAAAAGCAACAGCCGCAGGAAGGGAGGGGAAGGGGGGAAAGAAAAAGAAGAAGCAAAAAAAAAAAAAAAAAAAAAAAAAAAAAAAAAAAAAAAAAAAAAAATTTTTTTTTTTTTNAAAAAAAAAAAAAAAAAAAAAAAAAAAAAAAAAAAAAAAAAAAAAAAAAAAGGCAATTAGATTCGTTAATCTTGAGTCGATATGAATAGAAGCCAAGACGAGGGAGCCCTCTTCAACGTCGGAACCTTGTGGTGGTGGCCCCGGCAGAGCTTCTGCCATAGGATGCTGCCCTGTGCAATAGCAGACTGGGAGAGCACAAGTAGTATCCGTCAGGTAGATACCTAGCGGTGCATGCGCAGAGAAAAGAGAGGAGGAGCCGTCAGCATCAAAGTTTGCCCTTGCAAGATGAGCCCCAAGCGTGTTGCATTTCAGAGTCGCCCCGTTGCCTCGCCGCTACGTGCCTCAGGTAAGGTGACGGGACAGCTGTTAGGGCTGCGATGTGAGGCAGGAATTGAGGATGTCTCCAGGGCGGGTGGGCAGAGAGAGGGATGGATGGATGGAAATAGAGGGGACCACGACTGGCCCAGAAAAGTCCCGACCCAGGGTGGACACGCGAAGAACATGAACATGGACATGAATGAACGAACATGGGGCCCGGAGACGACACTCGCTCGTGGACTTTGGGGGTCTCATTGTCTGTCCAATGAGAGGCGGTACGTACTGCAGGTTCTGATACTTAAATGCCATGCATGCGGTGGAGGGACAACACACTAAAACA